CAGGTAAAGCCAACAAAAAGCCAAGTGAGCACTCAAGTGCTCATGTAGTAAGTAAAACTGCTGTGTCTTCTCTCCATGCTGCTCCCCTAAGCAGGGGGAGATACTACCCATATAGGAATGGATACTTCCCATACAGGAATGGAAGTATCTGACTAAGAGGAAGACTAAAAAAAATGAAGAAAACCTGTCAAAATGTGGTCTGTTATGATCACAGAGCCTATGAGAAAATCTTAAACTACAGAGAAACCTGAGTATTAAAAACAGACTGAAAATTTCTGCATCCTTTTTATTGCAGTTCTCTGATGCTTTAATTGTAATGGGTACTTTGTTGTTATAATGCCAATCTTCATTTTTTATTTATTTGCTAAATTGTTTGCTATCAGAAGAAACATCAGAAGATGATTTATAATAAAAACCCATCTGCATAGATTTGTGAAAACGTAATTGCACATTCTAACATTCGGTCTGAAGACATATTGATTATATCCAAGAGACCTATTCGTTAACAAATTTAGGGCCACAGAAATGGATTGATTTCCTCCCCCCTCCCAGTAATTCTATAATCCAAATAAAACAAAGTGCTTACAAACATCCTAAGGAGCAAATCTGGTTGCGATCTCCAGTAGAAATCAGAGTTCAGTTTCCCTTTGTGGAAGATGATGTATGAAGCTGACGAAGGAACCATACTTCATATGTGCTAATGAAGACTAGAGCTGTATGTTCTTTGCTTAGTATGTGTTTAAATGCTTAGTTGGTCACTGTCTATAGGTGAAGACACTTACAGTGTTAAGGCTGCTGTAGTGCTACTATCTATCCTTCCACTCCATGTCAAGTGGGACTACTGAAATTTGGCACATAGAAAAAGGTTATTAACAAGGTTATTAAAGGTTATCAACCAAGACTTGTGAAGAATGATTGCTGTTGCCCTGTGTAATCAGCAGAAAAATAGAGAAACACATTTAAAACACTGAAATCACCAAAGAGGAAATAGTTATTTGCATAGATTGCTTCAGAAAACAGCAGGCAATGAATTTGTATTCACACAATGTATGCTATACAGCAGATTTCTCAAATCCATTAGATACTGCCCAGAACAGTGTTGAAATACTGCACCAGAAAATACTAAGCATCTGCCTTAACTCTGACTGAGAAATACAATTATATCTGTTCCCTCCCCTCTGGTAATTCTCAAAATGGTTGAGATGATCTCAGTGAGAGCAGATTTTCTGTTAGTCATTGCATCAAAACCCACAGTGAATTCTAGGTAGGGCAGCTATAATACACGTCTTGTAACTATGCATTCTGTATTTAAATACATGCTTAGAAGAAGGCTTAATTTAAATTTCTTATAATAAATTAGGCCTCTTAATCATTAAGAATTCAAATTACCAAGATACAAACCCAATTTATCTTATCTACCTATGCCAATTTACATGTACATGTCCTTAAGTAAACATGGGAGATAAGCCATAAATTGGAAACTCTATTTAGATGGGAGGAAGATTTGTTTATGTTGCATAAGGAACTGCCAGCAGTTATTGTTAAAACAGTGTTCTTGAACACAGACCTAAGAAATTCTAATTTAGGGGAAGCCAGTGGGTATTCACATTTTGCCATTAGTGCCATTTCTATAGTGGAAAGACAGAACTTCATTTGCAATCCTCAACCACTGACTTTGAAAAAGTTTCTATCTTTGTGCAAGAATCATCATTTAATTGGAATTTCTGCACTGCATTTATGTACAAAGCTGTGAGTAGTCTTATCATTACCATCGTTGTATTTCCATTTTAATTACATTTGCAGCAGATTTCTTACCCTGTGATTAATCATACAGGTGGAAAAATAACACTGAAGAAACAATGATGGGACTAAGACTGTATTTCTTTTTCTAATTTGCTTCTGGTTTATGCAGAGATTCTATTCATGGGGTATTACTATCTATACGGTATAGAGAGCAGAGTGGTAGACTATGCTTTCCCTTATTTTGGCTGCAGCCTGCTGTGAGAAGAGGGGAGCTTCCTGGAGAAGCACTGACCTTTCTGGAGGAGCAGCTCTAAAGCAGAGGGTGGGCAGACCCACAGCCAGCAGGGAACAGCAGGCAAGAAGGTGGAAATGAACAAAAGGGTTTACTTGCAGCAGGGAAAAGGCTCAGAACCAGACCTAGAAATAAAGAGTGTTTCTGTAGGAACCTAGTGGGGAGCAATGTCAATTACATTCAGATTAGAAGGCTGCTAAAGTTGCCCAAATGGAAGGCAAAATTAAGGAATTCACCCTGTAAGGCACACTGCACAGGAGATTATTTGCAAACTTTTTAATCAGGGTCCATTGATAAGCCTCAGCATTCTCTGCAGAGAACTGTCCTGCTTTAGTTTGATATTTTGTGGGCTAATACCATCATACTTTAAAGAGAGAAAGGTTTTGGTTTCTTTTAGCATATTCACTTGAAAGCAGACCTACTCAGTCTCTTTTTAAAGCCTTTGGTGACTAAGGGGGCTGTCAGCTAAAAGTGATAAATACATAGATGATACATTATATGAAAATTATATATACATGTAAATATTAAAATAAGCTAAAAATTATATGCGAGATGTACTATGACACATATTCCTGGCAAGAGCAAATTTAATTCCTAAAATTAATTTAGACATAATTCTTCAGCTGCAGTTCTTTTCTATTTTAGCGTGTCCTGTATTAACTTGAGTTGCTCTTCAACAGCAGTTTAGTAGTAGGGGGAAAATGCCACAAGGCTCATTTAAAATCTAAACCCAGGATATAAATTCCCAACAATGGATATCTTGAATAGTCAAATATGATCGCCATTATTAATCATATAGAAAATTTCCATATTTAATGCTAGAATTGTAAACTCTGGGAAAAAAAAATAAAAGAGCATCTTCTAACTTCATTTCTGTAATACCAACAGAGATAAAATCCCACTGTGACATACATACTCTTCTGTTTCCTAGAAATAAGATTTCCCCTTCTTTTGGGTCAAGTCATACATAATAAATCACTTTCTTGAGACAACTAGCTGATTAAGATCCCTATTAACTAAAGAAAACATCCTTCTTTCACCCTCTCTTAAGTTTGTGAGCAGTTTGAGTCAAGCAGTTCTGGGTTCAGTACACTTTTTTTTCTTGTTTTTAAACAACTCATTTCAGACTAAATCCTTCTGGCATCTGGTAATCTGAATTATTCTTTCACTAGAGTTTATGGCTGTTGCTCAAATAAGAAAAAAGGGACTATGGTTTTTCATAAGGCCATGCACAATCCTAAGGACTTTTCCTACCATATAGTTGAAAATATTTTTTCTTTCATAAGACTTTCCCTGCTCTAAAAGGGTTGACATTAAGCACAAAGTAAAATCAAAACACCGCTGTCTGAACTTGAAGCAGCAGAACAGCCTTCAAAAAATCCTTAGGGTACCACTTAGAATTGCACAGATAAGCATCTGTGACCACACAGATTCTTGTAATAAAAAGATTTTTTAAACCGAGTTCTACTGAGCACATACACTGTGCTCTCAAGCTGTTCAAGTGTCTTCTCCTGTGTTTCTCTCCTCATTGATTTACTTCTTTAAAGAAATAAAAGCCCTTTAAGTTGACAAAACCATTTATGTTTTCACTAGAAAGAGAAAATTATACAAATGGCTATGCAGTAATCTTTAAACCATACACTGAGCAACTGAGAAATTGGTAGGTAAACCATTCCTCTAGAGATGAAGACAAAAACTTCATTGTGGTCAGCTTAGTATGCCTGGTTAAATGAGATGGTGTAGTTCTCGCTTGCTGCTTGTAGGCTACCTAAGTGTTTTTCACTCACTGTTGGAAAATAAATTTATTCTAAACAGTCCAAATATTTTCATATCTAAGTGACCCAAAGATATACATCGAAGTCTGAAACACTATTTCTTCATTCTCTTATTTATCAGTTCTGATGGTAGAAGCATTAAGTGCAGTCTGCTAGCTATACAAAGGAAAAAATAAATAGAAGATCATTCACCTGGTTTACTATGAATTAAGTGTATTTGCAAGGGCAAAAAAAGAGATCCAGAGAGCATATCCTCTCTTGCTATTGTTTAAAAATAAAAAAAAAAAATATTGTTCATTTAAAATAATAGCTTTTATAGAACGAGTCTGTTTTTTTCCCTTACCGGAAGGTTACAGGAACAAAACACAATTAATGCATTTGCTGCCATTCCTGATTAAAATGAAAAGTTAAAGCCCTGTATATCCTGTCTTAGACTGATTTTAAAATGTTTATTTTTCAGATAACGTCAAGATCATGGTCATTTCAGAACAACGGTTTGCAGTCTGGAGCAGTGGCTGTTCCATGGATCTCACAATAACAAGTTATCCCTGTGTCCATCCAGACAAAAACTGGAACATGTTTGCTAATACAGCTCACTAATTACAACTTCCTCCCCTTAAAATGTATCATTTCCATTATTGGTTTAATTTATAATTTTTTCAAATTAAAAACTTTCCCCTATTTTAGTTCTGAACTAAGGACTAAACAGATCCCTGTAGCTGATTAATCCCCCAATTAATCAGCCTTGTACAAATGTGATTGGGACAACAGGCTGAAGGGCTATGCAGGATTTATGCTCTATTGCTACACAGAAGATAATTTCATCACATGTATCTACTCTTGGGTTTATCAGCACAATAAAACTAAAAATTCTGTCCCTATAGTACCCAAGGCCAGCCTTTGACTTCAGATTTTACCAAACATCTTAATTTTCTCTTTCTCCTGAAAAAAAAGACACATGGAATATCTAAGAACTTGTGCTCCACAGCTGCTTAGAGATTTTCTCTGAAATGACTAGTAATAACACTGAGAATACGGTGTAAACTGCATCATAACTAATCCACCAGTTTTGAGGGAGGCCAAGTTTCACAACTGATGCATTCAAGTCACTTCAAAGGAGTTCAGTTTCTTAAATTCAGTATATCTCGACATTATAAAAACAAACAAAAAACTGAACAGAATATATGAAATCCTGAAAATCAGGATTTATTCAATAGCAAAGGCAGTTAAATAATTTTTGTGCAGTAGGAGATCAACATTCCCAAAGACAGCAACTTTCATGTACTTAACAGAAAAAAAAAAAAAGTAAAATTTGGTCAGGAACTATTTGAGGACAGCCTTGCACCTGGTACTGCCTGTGTTTTCTGGTCCTGTATCTAAATTTGAATGTGACTCTGTCTTCGTATTAAGTGGAACAGATATTTACCATGTTGCCATTCTGCAGAGACTGTTTCTTTCACTGCTGTTAGTTTCACAGAGGAAAAGAAGCTTTTTAAGGTGAGGAAACTGTTGGCAACAAAATAAACTAGCTTGGTAAGAGATCAGGAGGTTTCAATCTCTTGGCAAGAAATCAAAGTTTCCTTCCCTCCTTTGTTTAAAACACTTGATCCACTATTCTCTGCACAAGGCATATGGAAAATTCTAAAGACATCATCCATTTCTTTATTCTTTTCCCTGCCTGGGACCAGTATTATTTTCCCTGCCTGGAACTAGTGTAACTAACATAAGAGTATTTAGAAGGACTGAATATAAGAGTATGTATTTGGGTTTAGTTCTGCTGTGTAGTAGATGGTGGATTATGAATTCATGAGTTACAGGACTTTTCATCCAGCATCTGTCACCACATTTTCATTCACATCAAAAAGAATGCAACATTTTGATTTAGCATTGACACAGAAAGATGGGGAGAGAAGCAAAAACGTGAGCAGAAGAAATCAGAAAAATCACCTGGGGAGGAAAGGGGTGGGAACTCAGGAAAACCAGTATCCATTGTTTCATTTAACAGAGAAGGATTCTCATTAGGAGAGAATTTCATCTTATACTAAGATGAAAGCATGAGAAACTACTGACTCCTAGGTTGTATCAGACAATATACCATTATCTGATTATTTTAAGCAGCATATGAAGTATCCTTACCATTTAGTACAGAGCACACTTTCTAATTTCTTCCTCTATACAGGATGAAAAGATGCAGTTGTGCAATACAGCTATGGAATCTCAGAGAGTTCATCCTTCTTAATGCAATTCCTTAATTTTTTTAATGCACGTGTCCTCTGATAGCTCTTCAGTTTGATGCTAGCTTCCAGAAACCATGTTTGAGATTACTCTTCTGTCAACTGGCCTTCTGTATGAGTTCAACAGTTTCCTCCTGTTGTTCATGATATCCTGTTGGTATTATGTTTTGGAAACAGAAGCAAAATTCTTTCGGGCTTGTTTGTAAATCAGGCACCTCTCTCCAGTTTATTACAGAGCAACAGGCTAAACTGGTAACTGGTACCAGTGATTCCTCTTTATGACCACGATGTTGTTGTTACCAATAATGACAAAAATTGGCCATCCCTCTTACTACAAATTTAATTCCTTCAATGTGCACAAACAGGATTCCTTTAGGAACCGCCCTGATTGATATTGTGGCAGACACTTTCTCACCAGTTCCACTCTGATCATCCCTTTATATCAAGAAATAGCTCTACTGTCATTTGACCTAGAGAGAAAGTTCCCGTTAGGAACTTTTGTTTGACTGAACTGACTTAATGCATCATATAACATGACTTTTCTCCACTTTCATATTACTAAAGCCACTTCTGATTTACATGCTGATGTCAGAAATGAGCTCAAGCCCTCAGAAGCAACCACTACGGCAATAGGCTCTGCTCTACATTCTCCTGAGAAGTCCAGGATATCAGAACAATTTCTCTCTGTAATTCCATCAATGCACTTCCATAGACTGACATGTAAGCAGGCACTGCAGACTAGCAATGCAGATTAAAGAAAGCTTTCACTGCTGTTCAAAAGGTGTTCAGTCAGACTAGTATATATTACTGTAGGAATGCTTTCAGGCAGGACTGATTAACAAATCCGTTCTTACTTGCAGCAGACCTTTTACCACAGTGATTCAAAAGTCACGAGACATGTCTAGCACATCCCATGTCATGCTTACATGAAGTCTTGCAAAGCAAACATAACTGAACATTCCTGTACAATAGCTGTTTTTTTAAACAGTCACTCCACTATTGTTAACTGAACTACAAGTTATGACAACTGAGATATCCATAGTCATCCCTTTGGCATTCTTTATAAAAACATGAATCACGGAAACATTCATCATTAGGAACTCCCATCATAAGGGCATGTATACAGTGCCTCATTCAGTCTCACTGTATCTTTCCACTCTGTAAAATGTAACTGTCAGAACAACTTGAATGAATCATATAGACCAACATGTAGGTTTGGTGAAGAAGAACTCTGATAAAACACACGTCAAAATTAATTACTTATGTTTAGCTTCAAGTAACGATTATGTACAGAAGAAAACAAAAAAATTTCTTTTTTCAGAAGTCATTCTACCACACATTGCAATAGCACCATGTTGGTGTAATCAGAAAACAAAACACTTGGAAGAAAGTGGTTTACTGACAAAGCTCAGACATTGAAAAGCATGGACAAAGAGCACAAACAGTATAAAATAACTACTAAAACAGACTGCACTTGCACTTGGTCAAAGGGAAAGGGAGAAATTAACCACTGAAGCTGCCCCGAAGTTGTCAGAGGAAAAGTAACAGAACTAACAAATCCAAAGCCCTTTCAAAGAGAATCATGGTTTTTTCCCATGTTCGCCCTGAAAAAGCATTTCAACACTTGGAGTAACTCTTGGCTGAAAACGGTGCTGACAGCTATTCTTTATGGCAACTTTTCTGTCCAAGCTACAGAATTAACATTGCTTCCCTAAAGGCTAAAGTTACTTCACTGAGAATTGTGCTAGCCTTCTGGAGGTGACAGGAGGGTACAGATGTGGAATGAATGCAAGAACAACATACTACATCATAAAAAGGGAATTAATTCAAGAGAACGGTGTGAATGATGCTACCTACAGGTGTCACCAGCTGTATTTTCCCATGGGCGTAGATACTTTCACTGCAAGAGACACAGTAACACCCCTCTGTGTTCTTGGTCTTCCTCTTCTCCAGGCAAGAGATGCCTAAAAGATTTCCACTCCCTTATAAACACTAAGTATTTATTCACATTTTTGCACATGCAGAGGGGTAACTGGTAAGAATTTTACACTACCTCTGCTCAGTTATATAAATGAAGTCAGAGAAATATCAAACAATCGTTTTATAACACTAATCTTTTTAAAATGAAATACTAGATTTGTGTTACTTGCTGTAATAATGCAGTGCCTGATAAAAAGTTGTATGCTTAATTGCATTTGTTTTCACCTTCTGTCCATATATTCCTTAATGTGTCTGTAAAACTCCCTAGGGCTATCATAATGCAATGTTTCAAATGTACTCCCCTAAGCCACAATGATCAGAGGTGACCCTTATCCATAGCATTACAAGTGTCAGGTCTCATCTACAGAAAGCAAGTAATTTCTGCTATCCATAGATTTCAAAATTGATGTGTTTGCTTGGCTTTTAGGATAAGTCCCAGAACTGGCAGGATTTTCAGTGCTTCTGTATTGCTATGAGCCATAGCTGCTAAGATCTTAATTCTTAATTTAAATCCTATTGTAGAGAAAAACACTACATATAAAATATTTTTCTGCATTTCATTAGTTCATAAATAGATTGAAGGAATTTAAATCTTTTGTTATTAAAAATCTTATGATAAAAAGATAAAAATTACTATCATAGCCTAAAAGAAGCAATTTATACTTTTTAAGGTAAATGACATGAGCATACTTACTTGCCTTAATCATAGATGTGGATGTTCAGGTCAGAAAAATGTTACATATGTACCATTAGAAGCTGTAAAAGCAATAATGTTTAATTACAATATTATGAACATTTTATTAGTAAAAACCAATGCTGATATTAAAAGCATAAAAACCCACACATCACTTTATAGATACACTGCACAATTACAGGCAATTACATGCTCTAACTGGAGATCGTGTCCTAGTTCTATTTTGCTTTCTGTATTCTCATTTGTTTATGGCTGAAGAAATAGCTGTCTCAAGTATTATGTTTGCTAAGAGGCTCTTAAATTAATGTAAAGTTGCCATACAGATGCTACTTGATAGCCTGGAAATTGCACACAGGTTCTAATTACTATCTCTATTTTGTACTGGAATAGAAAAGCAAACTAATTGCTGCAACACAAGGTGTTTATTGACTAAATAAGCCTTTGCCATGATACAAGTGAAGATAAAACAGCTACAGCTTTATTGCCACTGATAATCTTTGTGAACAATGACTTCACCAGGTTAATATTAAACCTCATTTTGTCTCTTTATGCTCATTAGAATTGGAGGGGTATTGGTAAGGGTAACAGGGACGGTATCAAATAAAATTTGGACTCGAGATATATTGTAAAGCTTCTCCTTTCATACACTCTCAGCGCCAGCAGCCTTTCTTCAGTGTTGTCTAGGGTACTTTAAATGGTGTTCTTGTAAGAACAGATTTCAAGCCCTTATGAATGTTACATTTCAGCCTTCTACAATTAAAATTACCAAGTAGTTCTAACAGCAGTACTAAGTAAAACAGAGTAAGAAAGACAGAACTGTTAGTACAATCACTACAGAATGGCCAGGGCACTCAGTAACGTTTCACAGATGACATTTAATGCAATAGAGTTCACAATTTAGTTTTTTAGATTACATTAACACTTGAATGCATTTTAGCTGCCTGAAAAAGAGGCAGGCAAGTGAGACACCACAAAGCTGGCAAAGGAGAAAGAGACAGCCAGAAGAAAAAAATAACAGTTTCAAATTACACATTTTTCTTTTGCCAAGAGAACTAAGTATGCCACAACCACAAGGTTATTCTCCCACAACTTCATCCCTCATTTTTCATCATGAACATCTAATGACTTGGTCAATACTTTTCACTTGGGCTCTGATCTTGAACACTTGCATATATATATTTAAATTTACTCACATTGAGGAGCATCATATACTGCAATAGGACAATTCAGCAAATGCGTACATCTTTTAGGATCGCTGGCATTGTTTTGTTGAAGTGAAGCAGGATGTTAAAATATCTTCCTGAAAATTTAACAAAGAACTTTACAGAGACAGGAAGAACAAGTCGACCATTCTGACCGAACATATTCCTTAAAAGTTTAAAAGAATGTTTGAGTCACACACTCAAAATGCTAACAGAAATACAGACATAATCTTTGCTCTGCTCTCTCTCTTCATAGTGCAAACAGCAGTTGTCCATGTTCTGAAATAGAAAATTTCTGAAAATTAAAATGATTTCAAACTAATACATTCTTCTTTGTCATACACTGTGCCAAACTGCATTATCAGACTTGTGATGTGTTTCTCTGAATGATTAATGGAACACTTAACATTACAGTATCTCACTGATATACAGTGTCAATAAATCCCAACAGGACTTTGGGTTCTAAAACTAAATAACCTAATGTTCTGTGCATATGATGTCCTGAAATCACAGATCTCAGTATTGCAATACATTTGGAAAAACCCAGACTTGCAACACCTGGTATCATATGGGATATATGATTCTGACATGACATTAAATTCCGTTTCTGTCTATACATAACCTTTATCCATATGGGAACATGTATACACTGAAAATTAGTTATGCACTGGAAAACATACAGCTATTTCACAGCAATGCCTTATGGCTCTGGAGGACTGTAAAATGGCATTTCTATGGATTTGAGGTGTACCAATTTGGGACATAAATTTGATGCCACTAGCACTAACTGGTCTCACCAAACTGTAATGGAGGGCAGATGTGTGTTCTTTTGGAGCGGTTTCAGCTTCCACTTTGGGCAATGGAAATAATGGCTACGTGGACTACAGCAAACAGCATGCAGAATCAGTTTTAAAAGTTGTTGCAAACAACTACCACCAATTTTCTTATCGCAGAAAATCAGCAGGATGCATCTTATGAGTATCTTCAGCAGCAGCAAGTACTTGCAGAAATGTTTCCAATTAACTCAATTTAGGTTGCCATGAAATTGAAAAATAAAATACATCAACATTTTCATAAGAATCAATAAACATTTAAAGATAGTGTCAATTTGCACACATAACCTTTCCACCACTACAGCACTTAACACATTTTGCAACTACTGAATTAAAATTTATATTGCACTGAAATACATGTCTTGTAAAAAGCCAGTTAAAAATTGTTTTTGTCTGTTTATAGCTTAATTTATGATAAAAATATCATCAAAAATTATCAGGAAACCTAATAAAAGTTTAAAATTGATTGTCAAAAATAATGTGTATTTACTTATAAACACATTTTCTTTGTATATGGTATTACAACTTAAAAGAATAGACAATAATAAATAAATTCTTTATTCAATTAAATTGGTGCAATCTTACTGTCACTGTTAAAATCAACTTTGAACAGTTTGAGCCTGTCAGTTTTATTTCCTAGTGATATGTAGAGCCTTCTGTTACATTTTATGACAATTTGAACATACTACAAACAAATCATCCAAAAACTAACAGAAATTAAGAAAACAACAGACAGTCTGGCTAACCAGTAAGATTCCACATTTGACATGGTATATGAGCTCCATTGTCTAACTGTGAATATTACTTAAAAATTAAAAATCTTTTCTGAAAACTGTGGAAGAAAGAGGAAATGTTAGTAGAAATAACAAGAAAATACAAAGAAAACCAGCAAATCGTTGTATCCAAAATGGTAGTCAGTAATTTTCAAAAGGTGTTGCCTCTTCACTTTATGATTGCTTTTTGTATTTCTGAATTTCTATTATTCTAAGTTTCTTGGAGAAATATTGTGCTTCATCTTGGTAAATCTCCAATAAAACAAAAAATACGATCTTTTTTGTTACAGCAAAGGAAAATAATATAGTCTATACAGCTGGTAGTCCTACAAAGCGTGCCAATGTTATATTACACTGATTGGTTCTTCTTAAACAGATCCACTGAGTTTCTGAAACAATGCCAGAACATGGAAAGTTCTGACGTGGGTGCTACTCTTTTTTGTTAACAATGTGGTATTTACAACAACAAACAAACTCCTGACTTAGCTTCGCCTCCATTTGCGTAACCCCCAGAATCTACTCTGTTAGGATCATTCAGTTCTTCAAACAGTCCTGTTTCAATAATTTCTTCCTGCCAGGCTACAGGGACAGCCCCTGTTGCAAACTTTTTGAAGAACTGCTTATCTTTGTCATCAAACTCAACTCCTCGTATTTCAGAGAAGTCAGCAATGTCTGTAACATCTTTGGCATAGACAACTGATGGATCTGGCACAAATGGAGGGTCAATAAGGTTTGCCTCTAGCCTGTGAAAATTTATCGTTTTGAAGAAACTATGTTTTCTTGGGTCATCATCTTCATTTCTGCAATAAAGCAAAAGTGTATTAATCAGTATGATGTTCTGCTCTGGACAGACAGAGGTGTGTCTGTGTTGTGTATGTGACAGTATTGTAAGAAGGTAAAGATATATATCTCATGCAAAACAATTCTTTTCTTCATAATGAAAGAACACTTCATTGCATAATATAAGCAAAGCTGAGAAGAAGAAAATACCCTGAGCCCATTATTCATTACTCTGCCTCTCAGGGTAAATCAGTCCGGGCAAGGTGCCATGCAAGGGTTGCAGTGCTGCTTTTGCCAGTGCACTGAGATACCCATAACCAAAGATACACTTTAACCATAACTGAAGATATCGCAGGGGGAGGCAAATCACTGGATTTACTGCCCAACAATGAAAGTTCATATTAAAGCTCTATATTAACTAAGATCAGAATATCTATTAACCCAATGTATCCAGTCTTGAGTTTAATACATCTAGGGACTGACTCTGGGGAACAACAGTCTGAACAGGGAACTGGTGACAAATGACATTTCTGGTTTTATCTTAATTCAAAGCAGCTAGGTATTTACAACATAAAACTCGGTTCTGTTGCTCTAATAAGCACTCCCAGTTTTAGTGAGTCTTCTTATTCAAATGAACTATTATAAATTAACAAATATTTTAAGCATGGTTCACAAATCACAATAATAGCAAAAGTATGTGTACCACTGTCACAAACATAATCATTAATACTATTAAAACCCAATAATAAAATCCAGACTTGTAGGATATTCCGGTTATAAGAATAGTCTCAGCCTCAAATATGTGTTTGTGAAACGATGACCAATGATCACAGTTTTTGAATGGTGCCTCTAGCATCACGGCATACAAAGTTTGAGTTTTAAATTCTAGTGATAAGAGAAGAGAGGGCCACTGTTTTCTACACTTATGCACTCTGTTTTTTTTTTTTTTATGTATGCAGTGGTCTTGTAAATGGAAGCAAAGGAAAAAAAATTGCCTGGTTTTTGGTCCCAGAAAATGGTAGTTACCAACCAACATGTTGTTTTTTTCTTTTCTCAATTCCTTGCAAAATCATACACTTAGCAAAGTGTAAGACCTCATGTGTTTCTAGACAATGTTTGAGGTGAACAAAATGTAATGCAAACCTCTGGCAAGTCTTTTTATCTTTGCAGATGTGCAGAAGCACCATAAAGAATTAGTACATTTGTGTGACTATAGAAAAATCTCAATTTTTTAAGACCTTATACTATGTATGCAGAACAGCTCCTCTAGCTTGCTAGTCTTGCCAGTTCCTCATTTGCTGTCCTGCTGTGCCTCTACCCTGCCTTGCTGCTACCCAGGCACAGCTGAGATGAAACAACCAGCTGTACTTTTCAGCTCCCTTGGTACAGAACTATCATTTTATGCTTCTGCTGCCTGGTTCTTCTTTACCAGCCACTAACCACTCTACAGCACAATGACAAGGATGCTAAATTACATCCTGAAGAACAATAGATGCTGCCATGTGGGCACCCTGGCCTATGAAAATATGCTGTTTTCAATCCAAAAGAGCCGTATGAACATGCTTATGAATGTATAGATTAAGCCAACAGGAATCATGACTTCTGCATATAGTCTTGCAAAATCATCTCCTAACTTAACTAGCCAGTGATAACCAAGTACTTGAGCAGCCCTTGAGCCTGATGTGATTTATTTACATTCACTGTTAGCTTGAAATGCATTAGAGTTGCTATTCAAATTAACAAGTGTCCTGGGACACTAGAGAGCTCGTAGTGCTGATACTCCTATTGGGCAGATGCACCCACAAAAGTTTCACTTTATTTTGCTTTTCCTTTCTGTTACATAAGCCAAAGAAGCTGGTGAAGGCTCCAGAATGGACTGTAGCAGTATTTATCCTTCTGATGCATTTCCTGACACCACCAAAGCCATAAAACATTTAAAACCATAAAGCTACAGGAACGCCATCTACTGGAACCAACTGAGGCATCTTCCAACTAGCTGGAGATGAACCCGAGCTCTTCCAATGTGAACTGCACGTTTATGTAACTTAAACAGGAAAAGCAAATTTAACTTATCTGAACTCTGTCATTTTTTTATTCCTCCATTAAAGATACAAAATAATTTTTAAAAAATCACTTTACAGAATTGGGATTTTGGGATTTGAGATGCCAAAAAGCTTGAGTGGAGAAAAAGGTTTATATCATTCCTGAGTTAGCCAGTGACATTGTCTTCAATAAAAATGGAGAATTTTAAAAGGTCAGGTGTGCAAAGCAAAGCAGTCCTTGAGCAGCTTTAACTTATGCAACAGGCACTTATATGGCTAACTCAAGGTCTTCTTGTCCTTAGTAGAATTACAGTGCTAATCTTTACATAAGGATGAGCTGTCCTGAATAGTATCATTCTCTTTAAAAGGTACATGCAGGCTTTTATTCTGTATTGTGCCCAAGCACCGTATACATCATATTGCCTTCCTTCTCTATGTACAGCATTCAAGAGTATCTTAAATAGCAGAAAATTAAAAATAATCTGCACAATTACTTTTCTGTGCATATTTCTCCCACTGCTGAGAAATAACGTAACATTAAGCAGACAGAATGACTGTAAATGATTCCCTTGGCAAAGAGAATGTGGTTACAGTAAGTGAATAGTCTGTTGCTCGTTTTGCTTCAGACTTGCTGAATGAACCAAGCCACTAAGAATCTCTAAATTTCATTTTCTTCTACTCACTTCACAAAATGCTGCAAGACTAAATATCTGCAAAGCATGCTGACTGGTTTAGCATTAAATTCCTTTTCAGGTAATTCATTGAAAATAATACAGGCCTTGTATCAAACACACTCCATGTGCTTTTGGAAGTTTTTTGTTTTCCTGCAGCCTTGCAGAGTTGTTAGGAAAACTCACCAGGCACAAAGAGCAGCTGTCTTCATTTAGCACTTGAATAATAAGAATTCATATATTAATTATATGTTACCTTTCATTAAAGTTAACTATTTCAGGCAAATATATGACTAACATTTTGCAAAACTGTTCCACATTCTTATGAAATATAGATTTAGAAGACTGTGTATTTTCATTATGTCCCTGGTGTCTATTCCACCTTTAGATTGGAAAAGCACCTCATACATACATTTGTATTTATAGGCAATCCAAATAATGGTGTATTGTCAAAACAGGTACTATCAGTTTCCTATATGTTTTGGATTTGGTTTTTGGTTTTTTTTTTACATTTTTACTATATTTCTTTTATTTTGTCTATATTGCAAATGCAGATCCCACATCTGTCTCATTAGAAACGCAGTAAATGATTTTTTTATACACACACACAGATCTCACAGGGATGAGAGACGTTACAAGCTAACTATTACAATGCTTAACCTTCCAATTTTTGTCTTACTGAACAGTTACTTGAAATAGCTAAATCATGGATATGTCCCTCATCAACCCAAAGCCATCCCTGAAGCCCCCCAAACTGTTCTGCTTTGTAAGAAATCATGCCCAATATTATTTTCCTCTCTTTTTTCCCTGGGATGAGTCAGGATGATCAGGAACTCTACTGCATTTTTTTTTAAAGCACTTGAGTCATGCAGAGGGGTTAAGGTCTCCTCAGTAAGAAGCCAATGACGCAGCCTTCTAAGTTAGATATCTGCAGGGAAGAGAATCCACATTGCAGATCTGGATTTTTGCCCACATCATTCCAGTAAGTGATACAGTTTAAGATTCTGCATTCAGTCTGCGTTAGCAGAGATGCAGGTATCTACTTGAATACCCATTACCTTTAGGAAATGAAGGTAGAATAGACTGCTCCCTTCTCCGAGTCTAACCCCACAAAATCCCAAAAGGGAGCTCCTATGACTAGTTTGAGGATAGAGAAAGAATCACAACAAAATTGTTTATTTCCATATTACCTTCACAACTTTCCAACTCTCTCTTCCTAGAAGAGAAAGGGAAAATTCAGTACTTTACAGAAAGTAAAGATCTAACCTCATTTTGAGTAATATGCAAAATAATAATGATTGCAGCCTTAATCTGGCTTCTACAGACTTGGAGAAGTAATGCATACCTGCTTCCTAAACGACTCTCCTTTTTCTTAGCCAAAAACAGCCGGCAAATATCTTTGGTTTCCTCTGTAAAGTTGGCATGTTCAAATTTCACTTCATCTTCCAGAGTTCTTCTTTTAACCTCATCCTTATCGACCTTTTCTTTGAAATCCTTGAATGGTGTTCGCCCAGCGACCATCTCGTAAATACTACACCCCATTGCAAACCAGTCCACAGGATAGCTGTAATCTTCTTCCTTCAGGATTTCCGGAGCCATGTAACCATTTGTCCCAGCCTATCAAACATACAGACCAGTTTATTGTATAATGTCAGTAATGAAATGCATACAATTAAACAAACTAGTCTACAATTCTTCCAAAACATTAGTAATGCAATTGATATATTTTGTATTATGATCTCTGAGATGTAACTGTTTTAGCATAGGGACTATACCTGTCTTTAAACAGCATATGGGGAAACTGTTTTAAATCTGCTCTTCAAAGGTGAAATGTCTGTGCAGTTTCTACCTTGAAGTTTTTTTTAATTAAATTTATGTTTAAATTGCTTTATTCTTCCATGTTATTTTTTTCCCATTGAAGACAGTGTTGCCAGCTTTTTCTGTAAACACAATTAGCAATCAATTTGAAAAAATGAAAACCAGGACAAAAATCAGACAAACAATCACTGATTCCCACCCTATGCAGTAGTTAGAACTGGCCCATGAGAAAATTCTCATCAAGACAGTAGCTGAGCTGCATGAGGAACTTCTCACCCTCACTCCCTGTTGATTTCTGGAAGGAAATATTACCATCAAGGGCCAAGAAAAACCTTGTAAAACCATTGTAAGAAAGTAAACTTATGAAAATTATAATTAGTAAATTACATGCATTCAGGTGAAAGAACAAGTTCATATTTCCTAACTGAAAAAAGCTCTCTGAATAAAGAGTACTACTTGTATACAGCACTAACAGACCCCTCCTCAAGAGGGGTGGCTGCTCTTTGAGAGAGGAATCTGCCTGCTTCCTTCCTAGGCCAGGCCTGGCACATTCCCCTTGGGGTCAGCCTACACAGTGTTCAAAACAGCTCCTGCTGCCTCTCTCCAGGGAGCTGATTCACCTGGGAGGGAAGAGAGGAGGACAACAAACTCTCTATATGCTTTCTGCTGCACTGTTACATGACTGAGGGTCTGATATTTCCATTGGAATAGCATTCCCACAGCTGACCCAACACTTCCCTCCACATCTGATGCTGTATCTTATTTTACATATTTCCCAGATGCAGTTAACAGTGATAATTATTTCAGAAGTTGCTTGACTCTCTTTTACCTTTTTGAAATACTGGGACTGATGTTCAAATAATATTACAATTTACAATTAAAAAAATATGTTTGTGCAAATCCCACCAAAGTTTATTCAAGATGGTCATTTTTATTGCTACCAGAACACAAGTAATGACAGAGATTCTTTCCAAAGCAAGACAGTCAGAAAAAGGTAACTAAAACTAGAGCTTATTCGGCCAAATTATGTTTTTAAAAAGCACAGCTCAACAGATTAATTTTCCTTTATGTGGTCTGTGTAACTCCTCTAACTTTTGCAACTTCAGGCTCAGTATTTCTGAGTCATACCACTACACATTATGGCATATACTCTACTGTAAACAATGTGTGCGAGGGAATATCATAGCACCAATTACAGCATAAACTTAATGGACAGAAAATTAAATTCAGTTTGTTTTCCTTCTTCGTGTTTTTGTGTTTGGTTGGGTTTGGAGGGTTTTTCTTTCCCCACTTTTAGGGATATAGAGAAAAACTATCCATTTGGTTGAGGTGAGAACAACATAAATATCAGCCAGGCTGAAAGCAAGATAAAAAAAAAGTGAACCATTCCCCTTCTCGCTAAAGCCACAAAAGTAAGGAAGAGCCATAAGGGCACTGCAGCAGCTGACATAATTCCACAGGTAATTTGCACTGTTTGCATTGAATTTCTCTAAGCAAAAGTTAATACTGAGAGAAACCCTGATAGCATTACATTTTTATGTACAATTATTGCTCTGTTCAGAAAGGGGGTCAACTGCTCAAATACAGACCACAGAACCGCAATTCATACGGCCTCAGAAGGTCATGAAACCTGGAAGGGAGAGGAGAGGTTGAAAGCAGTAGGGAAAGTCTGGTACAAAAGGGGACACACAGAGCTCACTGCAGGTTAGTGAACACAGACACTAAATAGGCTTCTCAATATTTTTTTTTTTCTTTTTACTTTCCCCTTCTGGGAAGCAATAAACATTTTTACTGAGATGAAGCTGGGGCACTAATGCCTTGAAGAACTGATGAGTCATATCATCATCAAAACGTACCCTGACAGCACAGTATGGTCTTTCTGATAAGATATAACTTAGCTGCAATAGCATCATTATACAGGAACTGGATAAATCTGACTTGGAAAAGTCAGAATTCTCTGGTTGTAATTGTGTCTCAAGGCAGCTCCTTTCAGACTGCCTCTCTTTCCTTCCACTTTTTCATAAGAAATAGTTGCCAGGTAACTTCAGTCTCTCCCATGTGCATTTTCCACATAACCTTCAACAAGTCACCCCATATAGAAGAACTCTGTGCTTTGACATGGTACTCAACACAAGAGAAAACAAGACCATAATCACAGACCAAGACGACTTCATGACTACAGTTTAATAGAAAGTAGAGATGGACCAACATGGTAAGAGAGTGTGATTGGGGCTACTGTAAACAAGAATTAAGAGTCAAAATTCTAAATCGGTAGCACTGAAATCTTCTGGCTTGTTATTGAGCTGATCCAGCTCAATCTGAGAAAAGTCTAGAAACTTATCTCGTTCCTCTGATATGTCAAACCTTTCCAATTCAGAATTTTATGAGAGATGTTTTTCTCATGGAACTTCATCAAAACTTACACCTAATCTTCGAAAAAATCACTACCAATCCTAAAGCTTTCCTATAATCATAATGAAGGAACACGGCTGAGAAGCAGGAATCTAAACCTGATCTCATAACCCCCAAGGCTCAAAACCCACTGACATATTACCATTTCATAGCAGAAACACATTTTGCAAGTACTCTGCACTGATGTTTAGGGGGAAAGAAACACATAAACAAACAGGGGGAAGAAACATACAGATCTCTGCAACGTTTATCAAAATCAGAATTTGAAGAAAGGAAGAAAAGAGCTTAAATTTTAGTCTTTTCCACTATTTATACATATGTGGAGCTTTGCCAAATTTATTTGGGAAGAAAGATGACAAAACCATAAGCATTTTCTGTATTCAGGAACACAAAGTAATTATTCAAACCCCTGGAACTGGAAGAACATACATCTTTCAAATGAAGATTTAATTCTGTTTCTTGGGAAGGAGATAGTATTAGAGGAAAGCTAAAACCTAACATCCCTGCACTAATCATTATACCAAACAAAATGTCAAAAATCAGATCATCTTTCAAAGAAAAAAGATACCGTGGCAACATGAAAGGCAGCCTCGCTGACTCAAAGGTTTATATAAACAGGTAAGGAGAACTTAGTGAAAGGCGTTTTTAAACTATCCAGCTCTCACTAGCAGTAGTGAGATTTGAGTAGCAAAAAAATATTTCATTAGGTAGAAAATGTATCCACTGATTCCTAAAGCAAAAATGAATCAAAGTAATAGGTTACTCCCAGCAGCCCAAAGGAGTAGATTAATATACTGTAAATTATACTCCAATGTAAAAGGGGAAAATACCTAAAAACAGAAAGCAAAGGAATTAAAAGATATCACAAAAAAGATAAACACATTATTTTTGAAAAGGACTCTATTTTTCATGGGCTGGTATTCAAGATTTAATTCAGTCAGAGTTACCTGATCATGCCTCGGAATGGATACCCCTAATTATGGGTTACAGGTGTGTTTAACACAAAAAAAATCACTAGGTTTGTATGATCTGATAGTTGTTTTCACTCAATACAATTTATAAGTAAATTTAGAAGCATATTAACTGAAAAACCCTTTCTTACTGGATATTATTTTACATGGGTAAATTTCACTCTATTAATGGCAACAGGGAAATACAAAAAAACCCCACACTCAGAAATTGAATTCCTTTCTTGTCAGCTTTACACTAGGATGTGCATTAGGTTTTGACTGATGCTAAGAACAAGCACATTATCTTCTTTTTTCCTCTAGGATTCCTGCTAAGACCAGGAACCATTTAACATATGTGTTGATGACTCAAGAGATCTCAGAGACACAAATACACATGGAATTACATCTTCATTTACCTGGAAGTGTCTAATGGGACACCACAAAAGAATATCACAAAGGAGCCAAAGAATATGGTATTATCCAAACATTTTTTACAGAAGGCAGAAATCATATGCCCCACAGAGTCACATAACTCTGTAGTTAAGAGTAATACTAGCTTTTTCTTGTTTGCTTTCCATCTCGTACTGTCTTTTGTGATAATGAGCAGGATGCCTTAACTTGCATGTGCTGTCTGAAATACAAAAATAGTAATTCAATTTCAGTCAATTAAATTTTCATTTACCTGCTTTTGAAAACAGTTAAAGATCTACTTCTCCCTTTATTTCTCTATCTTGAGAACAACCCAAAATACAATTTTTCAATAATCCTCTAAAATGTAATGACCAAATGTTATCCTCATATACATTAGTGAAGAAGTTCCATTAAGTGCTTTGAGTGGGTTTGACAGGGCATAGTAGAAATGACTCATCTGAAAGTACACAAATGTTTCTTTTGTGAGATGAGATCCTGCATAAATTTTTAAAAGGTCACATAACTATAATCTTTCAATAATACAAGATGTGATCCTGAGAAGCACTAAGTGCACTTAGTACCCAGTACAGTCAACGGGTACTTGGCACACCACAGCTCTGGGCAGACTGAGGCCCATAGCTTAATTATGCTCAGACATCCTATTCAGATTGCTGTCCTGAGAAGGGAAAGTCCCTTAAACACCAGCATTATCCCAGCTTCTAGCAGAGGCAGGGGAGAAAGAAACAGAACTCTCTGAAGCACTTTCATCAGAACAGAAACAGGCAAATGAGGAGAAATGGCATTTAGATCTGTCTCTACCTTTTCCCACAGATCTCTGCAAAACAAACTCAATAGATACTAAAAACCAAACAGTAAAGCAAATCAGAATGTCTATCTTTTGTTTGCCATGGCACAAGAACTGTTGAACACGGGAAAAAAAACAAGCTCAGTTTAGCTCTATCAGCTGTTTCCTGGGGCTTGGTCCTTCCTTCCTCCAAGGGGTGCCACTGCCTGCTTTGTTCTGTT